ATATATAAATTAACGCAAGTTTGTTCTGTAATCTGTAGGATATTTTGTAATCTTGGATGTGCCTAGGACAACATAATTATGGGATATCGATAGCTTTTTTGAGCAGCATCCTAATCGAAAGCGGATCATCGCTATAAGAATACCCAAAAAGTACGTGGCATCTCATCTCTAGTTGAGAACATTGTATACTGCGAAAAACGACCAAGTATTTTAAAAAACATATGTCTCAGTAAATGAGAGCAAGCATTCATTTGCTCAAGAACTTGAATCTCTCCGCAACGTAAATAAATATTCATGTTGAAATGACACTATACAAATGTGTTTCCTACATACTTCTGTGGAATATCATAACAGCCTTTGCGCTGGTGGATCGTCAATTGCACACGTATTCAGAAGATGGAAGGAATTATGGCAAAGATAAAACCGAGAGCCTCACTGGCTCATTTCCATTCCTCATGCCATCGGTTTCTCCAAAAACTGTAAGCAGCAAAACATTTGATGTTGTAAATATGTATGTGTAGTAGCATTCAAAACAATTATTATCAATGCTGCGCGCGTATATTTTGTGTATGTATGTATGTATGTGTATAGATAAGAGTTTTGTCTGTCGGAGCATAAAAGAAAATCGATTTTCGAAAATAAATCTAAAATGCCATTTGTTTGTTTTGAATTGTTGCAAAACGTTACCATATGGGTGGAAATCCCCTAGCTTGTTTGTTGGCATATTCTCTTATCAGTGTAGATAACATATTGACACTGATGAAATGGCATTCAACAGTTTATTACGACTTCAATATGGGAAAAATCATTTAAATATAAAACACTATTCGACTTTGAGGCAATTTATAAATAATAGTACATCTAATTCCATTGGTAAAATACGATTAATAACAAAAAATTGTATGCATATGTATGTATTATTTTGTCCTCAGTTTTCTTGCACAATTTTGTTCATGTTATCCAAGGCCTACATCATCAGGTGTCTGTAATACACAAAACTTCCTGCCTTTAAACGAATTGATTTATTTCATGCTGAGTTCCAAGTTCCAGTTAATTAGTGCTCATTATCATTATCATTATCATCATCATTATTAATAAATACACTGTTTCTATAGTCTACTCAGATTTTGCATTAATAAATGAAAGCAAGACTTTTATCAGGAAATG